TAATCACATCAGCTTGTTTAACAATTTGATACCTAATGAGAAATGTATTGCCAAAGGATGGTACTTTCTAGCATCTGCTTAAATTTTAAGTTACCTACAATGCACTAAACCAAATTAAAAAACAAAACTAGAAGAAACCCAAATTTTCAGGAAGAGAAACATTATTAACAAGCAAGCAAAAAGAATACGGGACTTGCAAATTAGAAACTTAACATAGAGTTCAAATTTAACATATCGCTTAGAACTCAGCTTATTATTTATACTATATGTAGTTAACTTGATGTACAAAAAGATCAAACATTATCGTAACTGTAAAAATTCAATCTATGTGAATAAGTATGAATATACTCATATACACATAATTATACTAAATAACTCATTTAATGAAACTAAATTCCTATAGAAAAATGGGAAAAGTGTAGAATCGCCCACTGCTTGGCGTGTTTTTAAGAATTGCACATACTCGGTATCCATGTACATATCGACCTATTTTCACTTAAAAAGAAAAAAGAAAATTGACAAAAATCCAATTCCTTTTACTTTTGCTAAAAGTGCCAAATAAATAAGTGGGCGATTCTGCACTTTACCCGAAAAAATATATAAAAATACCATTTACCTATATATATTAATAATTTATTATTACACAAGGTTTTTCATATATCATCTCAAAGGAACATAAATTTAATTAAAGCGATGCATTATTGGAATAAATTTGAGTCAGTGTTTTAGGTGTAAGTTATTTAGATTTCTATTGTAGAAAGAATACTTTAGAAAATGTATAGAAATATTATTTTGAACCATAAAAATTCTAAATAGTAAAATTTAAAGTACTGAAAAGGTAGCTATTGTTTTTGACAGTAGATTATATATAATATAAAAATACCTCATGCTGAGCATTTTCTGAAATTACAATGCCAAATGAAATTTATATAGTGCAGTATTTAGCAATAATAACTTTTTGTAAACAAATGTAGCTATATTCGCTTAATTGTAATGACAGTAATTTTAACTGCATTTGTATAAGGCTGTACAGAAGATTTATTTATATGGGTTTTCATCCGCAGAGAACAACCGGATTCTCTGTGGAAGTGCTTCCGAAAATAATGTTTAAATATTACTCTAACTATATTTGAAAGCAATGCTATAACAGTGCCCTTATAAGACTCATGATCCGAAAAGCTTTGGTTTTAATTGTCTCGTAAAAACTTTCAATTACTTCTGCAAAATTCATACCCACGTAAAAATTACTACACCGAAGTCAATTGATTATACAGCAAAACGTTCCTAAAACAATCAACTCCACAATTCGAGATAATGCCAGTTTCCTGTAGCCTGACAAAACTATGAATGATTTTTTAAGTCCTGTTATTTAATTATTGTCCTGACAAATGTGCCATTATCAGAGGTGGTCATTTAAGAAAATAACCACTATATGAGGTTTCAACTTAATGTAATTTTTTTCAAATAAATAATTCACTTTTTATACTCCCAAGACTAGTACATTTAATATTACATAAATCTTATTCACAAATCTATTTCTATTTCAAAAGCAATTTATGAAAAACACATTTGAAATTTTCTTCATCAAACTAATAATAATGAAAATTAAAGTATGCATAAAAATGATTATATGTGTTTTAACAAAATAGCACAAAATATTTAATGTAAAAATGTGGTTCTAGTCTCATACTTGTAAAGAAAAATAGACCAAAAAGAAAAAAAAACAATGTAAGCTACTATGATCATCTAAATTTTCACATAATTTTAGTAGTGGAAAAAAGATTCCTTAAGCTTGTATGTCTTGTCTACCCCATTCAATAAGTAATAAACACATTAAATATTTCAATGTTTATTTCATTAATAAAACTTGCCTTTTTTGCTCGCGAAATATAATTAGTACATTTTTTAAAACATAAAAAAAAAAAAAAAAAAAAAACATTCTTTTTGCTCGGCCACATCACATTAGTCGAAAAATTGAATCATGCAATATCATTTTTAAGTAAGGTATGCTCAAATTTATTAGTACATAATATTCAAATGATAAAGCATCTACATGAACAAGCTTTAAAAAAAGTATTTCTAAACTGTAATCAAAAAAATAAATTTTCCAAAATACAGTTTCAGTAGAATGCAAAAACTATATTTCTGCATCTGCACACTGAACCAAATTATCAAGTCTGAAATTATCACTTTTCAGTCTTTAAGCACATTGTTTTTCAGGTTAAAAGTAAAGATGGAAAATCAATTTCACGCACAGAAACTCCATTTCACAACTAGTCAGTTATCAGCAACGTTCTCTCAAACATTAGACACGATTACACGTGCATGGCTTTAGTTGTATATTCATAGTCAGTGCTGGTATTTTATTATTTATTACTAATTTCTAAACAGTAAAACATAGTAAAATTTGTAATACAGTAAATCCTAGTAAATAATATATTGCATTACTACAACCACGAAGAAAATAAACCACACCATCGCACAACAATAACTAGAGCGGCGCCATATTCCTTGTTTGGGAAACTTCTGAGAGTGGGGGAGGGAGGAGAATTTTTTCCTTCACGTCAGCGTTAACAGGAGAAAAGTTTTGCGATTGTGAATGAACTTGTTCGCGTTAAAGAGATGTTGGTTGATACCGGTGTTATTTGTAATATCAGAAATGTAAGTGCTTATGTGTGTGTATTCAGAGAACCAACTCGTAGCAAAAAACCACCTCCCTAAGACGACCCGCCTCTGAAAGAGACCAGTATTTCTGAAAAACATAAGTATACTTTGGTATTGAATATTCCCTCTGTAAGGCGACCATTCACAAAGAAAATTCTGCAAGTGTGTCTGGTCGCCTTAGAGAGATTCATTCCGTAGATGCAATCTCCCTAAGACGACCACCTCTAAAAGATAAACGTATCTCTGAGAACGTGAGTATATATTTGGTATTGAGCATCACCTCTCTAAGGCGACCACTTGCAAAGATGAATTTTTATTTGCGGCTGGTCGCCTTAGAGAGACCTCGTTGTGTGTGGTGTATATGATTACTGTTATTGTTTCCGAAAAAAAATTAAATCAAATAAATAAGCATATTTAGTAAAAACCCTCTCTAAAACGACCACCTGCGTTTCCAGGTTACTCTGATGGTCTTAAAGAGATCATATTTTCATTCTGTTAATTTTATTGTTTACAAGAAGTCTATTAACGTCAGATAAAAAAATAGCATAAACCCATATAAACCAACAGAAGATTTATTATTATATTGATACCAGTAAGAAAACCAGTAAAAGTCAATATAAACCTATACAAACCAGTACAAAGTTCTGCCATTGAAAATGTTGATTGTATGGTTGTCAATTGATACCAGTAAGAAAAACTCACAGAGATCAATAGAAACCAGTAAAAGTCAGTAGAGACCATCAAAAATTCTATAGGTACCAGTAGAAAGTTTTACTGGTTTCTATGGGTCATTTTGAAACCAGTAAAAAAAAACCCACAGAAATCAACAGAAACCAGTAAAAGTCAATAGAAACCCATAAAATCTTATGGGTACCCATAAAAAGTTTTACTGGTTTCTATGGGGCATTTTTAGCAGGGAGGGGAGGAAAAAACTTAAGTACATGGTTCCAAGAATCGAAAGAAAGTTTTTCTAAGGGATTCATGATTGTTGCTGGTTTTTCTTATAATGGCAAGTTAAAAATAAAGAGAGTGCAAACAAATGTCAAGATTAACTCCAAATACTATCAGGAACATGTTTTATCGCCAATTTTTCTGAATGAAATACCATCGCTTTACCCACAGTGCCATCAATCTGTGAGACTCCATCAGGGTTGGGTTGGGTTGGGTTATTCAATTATGGCAAAGCACACGAGGGCTATCTGCCTAAAGGGAGGGATGCCTCAGGACAAAGCTAGCAGTCACACATCTAAATCCACTGTAAATTTCTTAAAAGAAATGGGACAAAAAACTGGTATCAAAGCCATGGTATCAAAGTCACTGATATCCCTACTAAATCTCCCGATGTGTCACCTATGGATTTTTGTGCTTTCGGACTTTTAAAACTGCATTATCCAAACGTTGTCCCAAAACCCTAACAGTACTCTGGAGAGCTGTTCGGAAGGAATGGGATAGAATACCTCTTCTGCCACTTCAAAAGACATTATTATCCTGGAAATTGCGGTGTCGAAAGATAGTTCAGAATAAGGGATGTCAAATAAAATATTTAAAACACAAGAATTTTATTTAATTTAGTTTAGTGAATACAATATACATCGTCTAAAAATGTGTGAACAGCCTCTGTACAACCGCCAGTTAATACATTCGATGAAGACGTTTCAACAGGAAAGCTTTAGTTGCTAGAATAACTCAAAACTCTCGCATAACTCAAAAACGAGTAGCCTCAGAACGTTGAAATTTTGTATGTAGGACTGCTATAATATGTAGATATTTACATATATAAATACCAACGTATATAAATACGAGGGTCAGTCAAAAAGTTAGTTTCACTGCAAAAGAAAACAAAACAGGAGCAAAATTTTTACAATAACTTTATTTAAATCTTAAAGTTCGATTCAAAATCAACTTTTCAACGTAATTACCTCTGTTATTTAAACATTTGTCGTGGCATGGTACAAGTTTTTCGATACCTTCTGCTAAGAAATCCCGTCCAATGTCCGATAACTATTGTTGAGCTGCAGCTTTCACTTCGGCATCTTAATGGTACCGTCGCTTTGAAAGTTCTTTTTTCACGGGACCAAACATATGGAAGTCGGGAGGTGAATGGCCTGGGCTATAAGGAGGGTGATTCCCCACTTTCCTCTTAAACTTTTTCAGAAGTTCGCGCGTTTGTTTTGCTGCATGCGAACAAACGACAGTTTACGTGGCCGTCGATTTTTAAGTGATTTCCGCAATCGTTATAGTGTTTCACAATAAGAAGATGCATTAATTGTGGCACCCTTCGGCATGAACTCCATATGCACCACGCCTTGTCTGTCGAAAAACAGCGTCATCCTCACCTTTCCTGCAGATGGAACAGTTCGACACTTTGTTCGTGTCGGGGAACTGTAATGTTTCCACTCGAGCGAGCTGCTCTTCGTTTCAGGTGAGAAATGGTGAATCCAAGTTTCATCTCCAGTCACAATTTTGTCCAAAAACTCATTCCTTTCTGTTTGGTAACTTTGCAGAAATGCAAATGCCCTTTCAAAACCCTTTCCTTCATGTTCCTCCGTCAATAGACGTGGAACCCATCGAGCACAGACTTTACGAAATTAAAAAAGATCGGCAATAGTTTTATGCACACTTCCATGAGTAATATCCAGTTCATTTGAGATTTCGTCTATCGTTATGCGTCTGTTTGCAAGCTTGCATTCATTCACGCGAGCAGCAATTTCCGAAATTGTTGCAGTTGATGGTCTTCCCTCGTACTCAGCGTCCTCAATATCTGTACGTCCATTCTCAAACATGGTGCACCATTTCGCGATAGCTTGACGTGACATTGCATTTTCACCATACACTTCATGCAACTGCCCATAAATTTCAGTGCAGTTGCACATTTTTGCACACCAAAAACGAATCACTGCACGCATTTCCCATTTGGATGCTATTTGCAGCTGTCGAGACATGTTTGCGACTGATTATCAGAAAAACTAAACCTGCCTCGGGAAAGCCGTGATGTCATACGATAGAGGTACATGTCTGAAGTATTGCCACACAGTATCATCCAAATAGTTTTAGACGGAACATATTTACGCAGCAGTGCAACACAATTTCTGACTGACCAACGTATATATATATATATATATGCCATAATAAAATCAAAGGAAAAGATGGAACACTGTAGATGCGTGATTAGACACATATTGAAGAAGATTTTGATTGCGTTGTATGCTAGTAATGCTAACTTGGTAACATCTAAAGAACTTGGCAGTCGAGGCAGTTTTAATTCCATTTTTATTTGCAATTGATATTCGTGGCCACAATTACTTGGCACTCTAGTCGTGCCTTTCTACAGAAGATTTACATCTTTGATATTGTTGAGATAGAAAGCAAACCAGCGAAATTACATCTTAGGACAGTGGAGAGCAAAGCTGAAGTGCGTAGTTATGAAAGATGGAAGCACGGCGAAGAGAAAAGTTTTCGTTTACAATGGCAGTTTCAGTTCCCAATTATTACGTCATCAGAGCTGCGCGGGCCATAGAGTGATCTAGAAATGACGCAATGCAGAGAAGTTATTACGATTTTAGAATAGAAAGGAAGAATTAATGTTTTACCGTTAGTTTAAACTATAATTTGGATTCATATATTTTTTATCTTACATATATATCCACTCTGTTACTCTGCTTAGTGAGCTCAGTTTCTTTATTCTTATATGTTTGTAAACTGTGCGTGTTTTGCTTTAAAAATGATTGAATTATGTTGTTCTTATCTTCCGGTTAAGCTTTTTATGCCTTTAGTAAACCTGCATGCAGTATTTGTGGAGTTATCAACAATTTAAAAGTTGTTTAAATACAGCTAAGCCTAATGAATTTTGCGATGGCGGAAACGTTTCTTTACATTTTAAACCTGGCAAAATTGTGTATTTGTTGCCAATCTAGAGAAACTAAGCTTGGAAGCAACACAGATAACGCCTTATTTTATTATTGCTAATTAAATCATGCACTATTCGCGTACCAGTTCTCAAGGTTCCACACACTTAGCTGTAAACTAAAGGTGGGAATCTTATAACTTGAATTTTTTTAAATTTGCTTTTAATTTAAATTTGAAATTAATTTAATTTTAAGTAATTTCACTAAATTACAACACCTTTTATTGCGTGATTTACCCTTCCGCTTATCGAAACTTATCGTTTACTATATTTATTTTTGATTAATTTTTCAAATTCATAACTTATATATATAGAGAGAGAAAGAGAGATATCGTGCATAGAATACACTGTATATACGCATATGCATGCAGAAAAATGCATGCTGGAAAATCAGGGGTGAATCAATTTTTTTTTTCCTAAAATTATGCTTTTATTAAAAGTAAGGCAAATTTGAGTAAAAAAAAAAGAAATTAATCTTGATTTGAAACTAAATAAAAGCAATCCTTTTTACAGAGAATGTTATTTTTATTAAGATAGTGATTAGAAGTTTACAAAAGAATCTAGAATTTAGATATCTAAAACTCATAACGTTGTAAAATTTAACATATCCCTAAGTAACAATAAATAAGAAAGCAAACGAGAATCAAGAATGATACATCTCGCAATATATTAAGCTTTATTTTATTCTTTTTAAACTTCTAATATCAAATATATGTGTCTTGTAATGAGATTTTTAAACATGACTCCGAAATGAACTTCGATTCATTTTATTTGCATACAATAAAAAAAACACAAATTCAATTTTTATTATCGTTATTATACTCCAGCTCTTCTAAATATTTGTTTTTTTTTTATGAAATTCACGCATTTTCTTCCTATTTGCGCATTTTTCTTATCCATAGTTTGATCTGAAGTTAGATTTTTAAACAGCACTCATATTTAAAAGAATTTTTATTGCTTATTTTTTCGGTACAATGTACTTAGACGAAATAATCGAATTTTTGTCAAAGGAAATGAAAGTCCGTTAGGTTATTTCGAGGTTAAAAAACTCAACGTCTTTTTTTTTTTTTTTTTTTTTTTTTTTTTTTTTTAAGTAGATTTTTGATAACTACCTAGAAGACGAAGAAGTCAAAAATCCAATTTCCGGGTGAAAGGCAAGTAAATTCAGGAGACATTATTTAACTACACGAATTATTGGTTCTACGAATCTGTAGAAGAGAAGCTAGCGAGTCCTCTGGCATATGTAGGAGACGTAAGATTTTTCATTCCTCTTGTCACGGAATGCGAAATGAAGACGCTTATTTTTGCTTGTTTTTTTCCTTGTCTGGAAGGGAATATCTTCGAAAGAACTTCGCGACGATAATGTTATACTGCATATGGAAAATGGTCGGCAATTTGCATTTTAAAAGGATCTCGAGTATGCCACTTTTAAAAAAAAATATTAGAGTTATCTTGTATATGCATGAGTTTTTGTTAAATTAATATATATTATGATTAAACGGAGCCTAGTTCTTTAATTTCCAATAAGGGGAGAAATGAAAGCGCAGATTTTTTAGCACGAGCAGAAAGATTAGTTTGTTTGGTGAGGAAAAAGCTAAAGCAAATTAATGTGACGATATGAATATTTGAGTAGTTTCAGAAACAAGAGGCTTTATAAGATCCAATCTTCTTTGATTTCATGCAATGCGATTAAATCTACTTGGATATCAAACCTTTGCGAATTCTCGCACAGGCGTGGAGATGAACATAACAGGAAAATGGTATAAAAAACTCTTTTATTAATCACAAATCACAACTCATTAACAAAACGATATACGGAATTACGTGCATACAACAGCACGGACTACTTGCGGTGAGAACTTAAAGGTAATTTAACAATAAATTTAAATATATCTGTAGCGCTAGACTACAGAATTCAAGTTTAAACCTAACAGACTGATAATTTAACAATAAATTTAAATATATCTGTAGCGCTAGACTACAGAATTCAAGTTTAAACCTAACAGACTGACTCAGAAACTTTATAAGGTCTCCCGCCTTCTGAACATGCTTCCGTGGTGTAGTGGTCAGCACGCTCGACGCGTATTCGAGAGGTCCGTGGTTCGAGTCCCGGCCAGAGCACTGCTCATTTTTTCCACCTCCTACTTTCAAAAAATAACTAATGTCTCTACAGTGGCGCCCGAACTAAAATGTGATGAAAGATGATTCTTCACCACCAGGATTTGGGAATTGGGTCCCCTAAAACACCAGTCGCTCTTTAAGGGTGAGTATATAAGGTATTTCTCCCGCCTTTGTAGCATGCTTTCGCGGTGTAATGATTAGCACTCTCGACGCGTATTCGTGAGGTCCGGGGTTCGAGTCCCGGCGAGGGCATTGCTCATTTTTCACATCTCCTGCTTCAAAAAAAAAAAAAAAAAAAAAAAAAAAAAATCTAATAACTCTACAACCTACGCCGGCGATATAGTAGTTAGACGGCCAGAATAGCGGAGGACAAAATAGCAAACTTGCGCTTCACTAGCGAAATCACGCTCTGTCTAACCTTTTCGTTTCAACCGTTTAAATACGCTCGTTCATCTACTTAATTTGTATCCTTACGAGGAAATGCGAGGGAGAATAAGAGAATTCCGAAAAGATTTAAAAAAAAAAAATATCTGAATGGTTTCAGATTTTAAATTACAACCAAAGAGGCGTTTATTTAACATTTTGTTCATTACTTTTATTTATTAAATGTCATGTTCTTCGCACTTAAACCATAACATTCAGTTTAAGGGCAATATTCCAAAATAATTTTAAAATGAACATAGCCATAGAATTTCCGATACGCAATCTCGCGCGCTGGAGATAAAAATGTTTTTTCTCTTCAACGTTGCCATGGCTGGCTTTCAAATCCTTGAGTTTGTTAATCAAAAATTTGTTAAAGTTTTACAAAATACGAAATCGATCATAAAACAAATTGCAAATTTCAAATTTGGGCTTCCAGATGTCCATATTCGCAGTAGGATTACGTCATTCAAAATTGGATAGTTCTAAGTACCGTTGTTTTATCATAATGCCAGAAACATACATACATTTATGCAGATTCTTCATTATTTTATTTCTTTAAATATAATATAGGGCGATAACATTTGGTGGCAACAGGTTGAAAAATGAAACGGACATGCAGAGTGGTTCGACGCAAAATCGAAAAACGAAAACTATAGTCGCTCTGTGACAAAGCCCCTTTGTACTAATAACTATTAGTACAACTGAACAGGAAAACTATAGCTTTTATTTAAGGCAGATCGGAATCAAATGAAGAGCACATTTTACAAGATATACGGATGTTTAAGACATAAATTGTAGGAAATATGAGCATAAAAATGCATATGGTCAAGGACTGGATTAGCTTCCAACGTGCATTAAAGAAAATAGATTATCTTAACTCCTCTTTAAATAAAGAAATTATTTAAAAAATATCTCATCATATACAAGCCTATGATTAATTACTTAATTTACTTTCTATCTTTCCACTAAAAAGCTATACATTTTCTCAGTTCGTAACTTATCGTTCGAATCGGGATTTCATTAACTAAAATACTAATCTCACACTGCAATTAACTATAGAAACAAAAATTTTGTAGTTTCCAGGTTTGTTGGTTGAAACGTTACTACACGAATATTAGTCAGTGAATAACACGAATATAAGTAAATATTTTTTAAAACGCGTCCTGTATTTAGTAAAAGCGCTTGGTAATATTAAAAGTCGTTTTAAATAAGAAGACGCCTGCAATTTACCGCATTCGTCGGGAATGCCCAATGATCATTTAGCCGTCTCATCACCGAAATGTTGCTCAAGTTGCATCACAGGGGGTGATTGACTTTAATCTCGAGAACAGTGAATTTCGTCCATATTTTGATCAAAACACCCCTCTTTTTTTTAAAAATCCAAGTTTCTCGAAAGAGCCTTCGAATCGATAGTATTTTAAGAACCCCATCATGCCGCGAAGACACTATACACTTCGTAACATCCATTCCTTTTTTCAACGACAGTCAGCATAC